CAAACTTTATTCAGTTTGGATTTATCAAGGTTCCTACCTCCAGAACTTTGGTGGAGGGCTGGGGACAGGGTGGAGCCAGACCAGCCTTGCTGCTCAGTTGCTGAGTCCTGCCACAGACTCCCCCTGGGTCCTACTGCCACTGTCTTCCTATCAGCTTTGACAGGCAGCCAGGGGCAGATAAAAATTAATTTTCTAAAATTTTTAGGGGCCCCATAGGCCAAATAGAATGGTCTGTTGGGCAGGATTTGGCCTGCGGGCCATATTTTGCCCACCTCTGCTGTAGACTGATGGTCTCACAAGACCTTAACTTTGTAGTTGTGACCTAGGGACCTAATTTAAAACCCTTGCTACAGAAAGTTGATGTTATCTTCTTCCATAAGCTGCTGTGGAAGGTAGGAAGAAAGCATATAGCAATGTGTATACTGTAATTCACGGTGTTTTTTGGAGGATCTTTTTTAAATGAAGATTCAAGTAGCTAAGACTTTGTTTTGCTTCTCTGATTGCTTGTTTGTACCAAGTCCTTATTCTCCATCCTAAAGTTAGTATTGTCACTGTGCTAAAATTATAAGCTTAACAAACAACTGGTCAAAACAGCTATTAAAATACCAGGTTTTAGAAGTATTGCCAAAACCAATTGCATTATTCTCTACTGTTTGTAGCTCCTTTTTGATAGACTTAAGTTGCCGGGTATTGTGCAGTCTGAACAAAGAATAACGGGTAACATGGCTGAATCAAAAATAACTAGGGAAATATTGTATTTGAACGTGTTAACAGATGTTAACATTTCTGGCACCTAGCACTATCTAGTACAGGGATGGTCAATTATTTTGGGTGGAGGGACGTTTACTGGGTTTTGGCAAGCTCTCGAGGTCCGCATGGGTAGACCTGTTCTTTGACAGGTGCCCTGCCCCCTGGTCATCTTGGGACTGTAAGTCCCACTCCCTAACCTCTGACCTATACCACTGGAAATCCCTGCGCTTGCCCCTGGAAGCACTCCTTTGGGAAAGATGGTTTGCCATCTTGGAATGGAAAAAACACACCAAATTGTATACTAAAAATCAAACACCCATAATATATTTTCATTTTATTTAAAAAACATATTTTTGACCTGATTTGTATGTGTTTGTGCTGTATATGTAGAAGTAATTGCATAATTGCTCAAAATGTAGTCTTACTCTTTTGTATATTGTGTGGGGTGTGCAGGGGTGTTGGGGACTATTGGTGGGTGGGTATGGGGGATTTGTGAGGATGTGTGTGTAGTGTGGCTGTGAGGTTTGTAGGAAGGGTTTGAAGGTATGTGGGGTGTGCATGGGCAGCACTCCCCTGAGCTGGGCAGCACCCACCCCCACCCCACAACAGCGGAGAGACTGAGTGCCTTACAGCGCCTCCCTGCTACTGCCAACAGCGTGCAGCCTCAATGCATTCCGTGCCCTCTCTGCTCTGCCCAGCCATGGCATGTCCTGCCACCTCTGGGCATGCAGTGGTAGCAGCAGGGACCAGTGTGTGCAGCTGCAACCTTGTGTACCCCATGCTGGCTCTGGGCTCACCTGTCAGGGCTGAGCAACAGCAGCAGCAGCTCTGCAGAAACTGCAGTTTGGCACAGGGGAAAGTGGCCCCTCCTCTTTGCTGTTGCTGGGCGGTTTTTGCTGCAGCTGCCTAGAGCCTATGCTGGCCTGCCCTACCACTCCTTCTCTGTTCCTGGCTTCCCAGCGCGGCCTCTTGGCTCCCCAGTGCAGCAGCAATGACAGTGTGGAGCAGCAGCTGGGCAGCTTACAGGTGGCAGTGAAGCAGCCACACCGCAGCCTAGCATAGTGTGGCTCCTTCACCGCCACCTGTGAGCTGCCCGGGCAGCTGAAGCAAAAACTGCCTGGCAGTGGTGAGGAGGAGGTGCCGCTTTTCCCTTGCACCAAGCAGCAGTTTCCGCCCAGCTGCTGCTGCTGCTCAGCCCTGACAGGCGAGCCCAAAGCCGGTGCTGGAGTCCAGGCTGAGCAGCGGTGGCACAGGACAAACTGCTGCTCCACATGGGGGAAAAGCGGCCCTCCCACTGCCAGCCCTTCCTGGTGCAGCTGCTTGGAGCCTGTGCAGGGCTGTCCTGTGTCTGCTCTGCACTGCCACCGCTGCCCCATGGGGCAGCCCAGAGGTAGCAGTGATGCGATGGAGACTCGGGACAGCCCCACGTGGACTCGGAGTGGCTGTACCAGAAAGTGCCAGCAGTGGGAGGGGCTGCTTTTCCCCTGTTCTGAACAGCAGTTTGTCCTGTGCCACCACTGCTTGGCACCAGACAGGTGAATGTGGGGTCAGGGCTGTGCGTGCTGGCCCTGCCTGTACTGCGGGGCTGGGGTGGGGGGGGACTGGAAGCGAGTGGGCACGCAGGAGCCTGTGACATCTAGGCAGGAGCGTGGGGCCCATGCTGGTGTCCCAGGGCCCAGAGCAGGGCAGCAGGAGTGCAGGGTCCCAGCCAGCAGGGGTTCTGTGGAGCCAGGCCAGCTCCTTTCTTTCCCTGCTGGTGCAGCCCCGCCTGGCTCCATAGATTCCTGCCAGCCCATGCCCCATGCTCCTGCCGCCCTGCTCTGGGTCCTGCCATCGCTGGCCCCAGGACACTGACATGGACCCCATGCTCCCACATGCCCCCTTGCTTCCACTCCCTTCCACCACCACTTTTTCCACTTTGCTGCCTACCCACCAGCTGCTCTGTACCACGTGGCTTCTGACTGCATGGCTGGATCACTAGACTCGGCAGGAGTTGGCCTGGCCCCAAGGACTGGGGTGATTTGCCTGTGGTCTTTCCCTGCCTCCGCGCCCTGCTTCTTACCTAAATTTCCTGCTCCGGCGCAGGGAGGCACATATGGCCCTGTGGTCCCAGGCCAGAAGCCTCTGTAAGGCAGGGGCTTCTGGTCGGGCTGGGGGGGCAGGTGGGCCTTGCTGTTACAGGGTCCTGCAATGGCTTCCCATGTGTCTACTACCCCAGGCTCCTGTCATCTTTGACAGGCAGCCAGGGGCAGATAAATATTAATTTTCTAAATTTTTAGGGGCCCCGTGGGCCGGATAGAATGGCCTGGCGGGATGAATGTGGCCCGTGGGCCATATTTTGCCCACCCCGATCTATCATATCTACGTGTCAGCCAAGGTGGAAACTACTTCACACTACCCTGGAAAATCTTTACCTATCACTAGCTAGGCTTGAACTATGTTTGGTCTTTGGCATTTTCCTGAACTTAAGCAAATGTTTGCTTGCAATTTGTTCTGCAGTCAACTGGAGATGCAAATTTGTTAGCTTACCCCGATAGCCTTTCAGATAGGTATTGAGCTGTATGGCTCCATACTGCAAAATGTAATCATGTTTTGGTTTCACCAAATTGCTTAAAGTGTAGCTCTTCCCACTTGTGAAATATATAAAACCTGTGGTCTTTTAAAATATTGCTGCTTCTCTTAAGACAGCATTACAGTGAGAATATTTATTTCATTTACTTCTATTAGAGAGAATGGGGCAGTGGTGGGGGAACCCCACCTGAATTCCCAGCAATCCAGTTCCTTTTGCTCACACTTGGCTTGAAGCTTTTTTGAGCTGAACACACACTTCGTTGGATGCACTTGGCAGGACATGGACAGGGGTCAAAAGTAGGACAGGGGAACAGACCAGGGCTGTCCAATGACTAAACTGCAGGGAGCCCATAGATGAGCTGCCCCACATGGGTCTACTTGCACCTCCCTGTGCTGCAACATGTGGTCATGTGAGTGTAATTTCCCCACTCCTGGACAAAGCATGCCTACACAGACATTTCCCCCCCCCCCCCCCCATATGTTGGTGTGATTTCCCCTTTCCTGACTTGCCCTCCGCACCACTTGCTGTACAGCAGCGGAAGCCAGAGGAACAAGGGGGAGAGACTCCAGCAGCTGTTGCAGCCAGAGCTGTAGGAGAACAGTAGCCAGGTGAGAACCCAAGGGCTGCAGTTCAACTCCTCGTGGGCCCCCTGTTGCCAGTGGGCTGCCAGGTGGACAGACCTGATATAGGCTATAAGAATATTTGACATGAGCAGCAGAAGTCAGTCTCTTTCCCTTTTTTATGTGCGGTTGTGCATATGAGCAAGTCTCCAAATCTGTGCTGAACAAGTAGTCCTAAAATAGAGTGACTATGCAAAACAGCGCCTCTCGATCAACTCACCTGTCCCGTGAATGCACTGAGAACCACATATACATTGCTTTACTACCTGATATAAGACTTTTTATTATTCTTATGAGGAGCCAGTGCTCTTCTGACAAGAAGATTTAGATTATGCATCAGCAGAACCAACAGAATTCTACCATCAGGACCCTTACTGCATGAAGCCAGAGAAGCCCAGCCTGGATAGTTTTTCTTTGAATTTGTAACATGGAGATGAAACCTACTAAATATCCCTAATAAAAAGGTTCCTCATCTAAAGCCCATGAGTCATAATGAACATTAACCCCCAATTGCTCTTCTGAGGGTGGGGCGGGGTCACTTCTAGAGCAGAGCTGCATTCTGACTGTAATTTATTTGGTTTTTCCATGGATTGGAAGACCACTTAATCACATTGATTACTGATTTTCACATATACTATGAATGCACATTAATTTTATCTTGAGCGTGAGAAACTGAGCACTAACAGTCCCTTCCTAAAGGTCAGGGAAGCACACCTACTGTGACGGGTGTTGAGCTGAAATGTCTATTGAGATAAATATTGTTGCTTTATCAACATAAATTAACTACATGATGTTCCTATATGTGTATACCATATCATTAACCGCTACAGTAGCATTAATGTAGTAGTTTGCTGATTGTGTCTGAAACAGTTGCTTAACTGAAATGCTAAATCAGGTTTGTCAAAATGTGACTCCGTAACACCACACACTTTTTTTTTGTAATGAAATGAGAGTTCCTCATGGACTTGCTGATGGTGGTTACGGGACGTGTATCTTAGTTATTGTCATCTGCCTTTTTAAAATGTAAAGATTTCTGAATGCTGGTCTTTATCTTACAGCTTTCCACATGAAGTCCTGGAAGTCAGAAGGAGACTAAGCAATAGTGAAATGACCCGTTATGTATTTGAGAATACTATGTAAGTAATAAATTGTTGGTGATGCTTCCACAATCATTGGAGAAAAGAAATCAACTGTAACTTACCATCCCTCTGTCCTTAGAGCAAGCTAACTAGATGGCTTCCCAGGTGGGAGCTTCAGATAGGAGGAAGAGAAGTGTGTGAGCATGCACAGAATTTCCCCCTGTCATGTGTGCTAAAGAAAATTCATGCATATCCTTGAGTATCTGAATTGAGCTAGACCATTTGTGCTACTCCGCATAGCTTCTGCTCCTTCCTCTAGTCCTTGTCCACCATGAGTTAGATGGTGGCTGCTGTGTAAAATCCTGTAGGAGCTTATGCTCATTTTCATTGGAATTATCCCATGAGTTTGCTGGGAGATGTGAGGATGTCCTGCTGTTGAGCCTGCCATGCTTCAGTTACGTTGTTGTACTCCATGGGTTGAGAGAAGCACAGATGTGCTTGCCTTGACTCTGCCTCACTTGTAAAGGGTTTCCCTAAACTTCTCATCCTGTTTGCAATGAAGGAACATCTGTTTTTTTGTTGTTCCCCCCCCCCC